ATTCGATTTACCGCCCTGAGCGCTTATTAAATTTTTGGACCTTAAGAGTGGGCGCTTATTCGAGGTGGGCTCTTATTCGAGGCTGGGCGCTTATTAACTTTTAACCATTTTCAGCAAGTGAAGTATGTATACTTTGCAACAAAACAATAAATGCTAGTAACAAAACTCGAAGAAGTAACAAAGCAAAGTTTCTGTTAAATACTCTGAAGAAAACTCCGACCTCGGGGAAGTCTCTTATTCACTCAAGTGGGTGGGGTGGGGGTGAGCGCTTATTTCAGTTTGATTGGGAGGAGGAGGGGGTGGGCGCTTATTCGAGGCTGGGCGCTTATTAATTTTTTCTGCCTTTAGGATGGGCGCTTATTCCAGGTGGGCGCTAATTCGAGGTTGGACGCTTATTCGAATAAATACGGCAATAAATTAATAAATAAGAGGAAATCGCATCACATAGCAAATAACATAGCAAAAGCCTACTTCCAGCTAGGATACGAGTTCGTTAAGGCCAGACTTGTTCTCATTGGCAAACAATTGCAGCACCGAAAACCCTAGCTTAACAACCCGGCTGTGGCTTTCGCCAAAACAGACAAAATTGATTGGCAATTTTAACGACCTGAATGCAGAACAAAGAAAAGTCAGTTGTATAGTTAAGTTTTTTTTTAAAACTCAGTTCGTCCTTCCGCGTCCAGCACAATATTTCCCTGTCCTTGTGAACTGGACGAGTTGCTTACTCATACCCCGAAGGGGTACTTCCCTATAAGAAGCTAATAGGGAGGTACCGCTGAATGGGGTCGCATTTTCACCACTGGATTGACTATAACAAGGTTGAATTTTTTTTATAACCTGAAACTGGATCTCAGCAGTCTAAGGAAACAATCATGGAAATGCCGTTATGACCGAAAACCTTCTACAAAGACCTAGAAAGCTTGATGGAAGGTTACAAGGTTAAAGGTTTGTTTGTTTGTGAAAGTGTACTTAGCTTATAATAAAAACCCCAGTTGTCAGGAGGCAATAAGTTGGCTATTTAACAAGCGTGGCAGAGGATTTAAACTCGGTACAACCGAGAACAAATCCAGCAAGTGGCCAGAAGGGAACTCGCCGTTGCCGGATTACCATTCTAACGCGCTGACTACTCCCTCCTTAAGTAAAAAGTAGGTGATGAAGTTTCCTATAATTAAAACGATAAGTAAAATTTAGCTGGAAAGGTTCAACTGGAAACAAAGAGCTCAAAATGTGTTATAATGCCGTGGCCAGCGAAACTGTAGGGAGCCGGCTTAAGCAACGACGACGACGACAACGACTACAGGCGACAACGACGGCGACAACGACGGCGACAACGACGACAACGACAACGACGACGACGACGACGACAACGACAACGACAACGACAACGACAACGACAACGACAACGACAACGACGACGACGACGACAACGACAACGACAACGACGACGACAACAACTACGACAACAACGACGACGACGACGACGACGACGACTGCGACACGGAAAACGTCTCTCAAAAAGTGAATTCACACTGTTTCAAAATTCGCGTTCCCTGTTTCAAATGTTGGTGAATTTTTCTGGAGTTGAATTTTAAAGGATTGTATATAAGTTTAACACAGAAGAATCAAAAAAATGTTGTCTTGTGTTCATATTATCCAGAAAACGTGAAATAGGCAGTTTCACTGACGTCATAGTTGTGCAACTACGGCAAAGAAATGTACAAAAAAGCGTGCTGCAATGTGCAAAGTTGTTGTTTTGCTAATCTTTAGTCTATTGATTTTTTGCTATTCTCGTTGGCGTCGATATCAAAGCTGCAAGCGTCGATCTTGCATTCATATTTTAAGTCCTAACAGTAAACTCTGCCAGCTAAAACCTCAGAAACAGACCTAAGATCTGTGCTGCTAATAAAAACTAAAAAAATTTAAGTGAAGATATGATCGTTGCAGTGGTAATTGCAATTTAAGCAATTGTCAATTAACCCAACTTCAACGGGATTCGAACCCATGGCCCCTGTGTTAGCAGTGCTCTACCAACTGAGCTACAAAGACCTCACCCCACACATTGGGAGCAGGCCAATTTGTTGAGCTTGGATTAGCCGCCTTGAAAGGAATGAAACGTAGAGTGAAGATAACGTGAAATTAGGAAATATCTTCATTCAAATTTGTATTTTCGCAATTCACATCATCTTCGAAAACTAAACAGTACAATAAATTCCATCTGGTTATAGTGCTTCTGATTGGTCGTGCCGTGTGGCAAATTTGTTTAAAAAAATCAGAAGCACACCCAGATCTGAGTAGTCAGGATGGTGGTAAAGCCTTTCGATTCTCTGGGAGTTGGGGGACAACTTGTCTCCATTTTAACGGGGGCCCTACAGTGTACTTAAGTCTTTTTTCAACTCACAGTTACCACCTTTGGATTCATACGTAGAAGCCTATTGTAGTGGCGGATCCAGGGGAGGGGCCTCTCCCTCCCCCCCCTTTTTTTGACCAAACTGTCGGGGCCGAAAAAAACATTTTTTTAAGACCGGGCCCCCTCCCCCTTATCTCAGGGTCTTTAACGTCAGTTATCTTGACGCTCCACTCGCTTTTGGTGTCTCCGTCGCTGTTGGAGTCAGTTTTTCAGGCTTAGCAGCGGCGTGGAAATCTTTCCTACCATTTTTTTTAACATGAGAGCGAGAAAGGGAAACAAGACTTTTTTTGGCGCCGGGCCCCCCCCCCTCTTTAGCGGGGTCGGTGGCCCCCCCCCCCCCCCCCCCCTCCCCTTATCTGAAGGTCTGTATCCGCCACTGTATTGTGACCAAATACTTAGATATTAAAGAACGGATTTACATGGTTATGTCATTTCTCCCTGGGGAGGGTCTCAAAGTAGTAGAATCAGGATTTAGTGGAGTAGGCTGCGAATAGCAGACGTATTTCCGGTTCTCGCTTCTCTCCCTCCGAAGGGCTATTAGTGGAGTGGCCTTTTTCGTTTAGAACACCTATTTTCACTGCACCAAAAATTTGATTTACACCAAGTGCTTTCCTTTTGGCGGACACTGTGACTTTAGACATTTTCAAACCGTTCAACTCTTTCATGAATAGTTAATCGCAAATATTTATTTCTACTCTTACTTCCCAGGTAGGTAACTAGGCAATCGACATTAGTTCCATTCAGAGATTGTTGATGTTATTATTACTTACCTCGTCGAGCTTGTGACACGGATCGAAGCAGAAAAAACAAAGACGATGATGGAATTACTGAAAAGGAATCAGAAAATAACTTGTAACGAATTGTGAGTTTTTTAGGTATTAAAAGTCCTCCTCTAAACTTTAAGGCAGGCTTGTGTGATACTTGGCTACTGGGTTTAGGAGAATAAAACAAAAAAAAAATGAATTATTCAATGCTGCAACACAAGATTAATTCTTTTATTTAATTTTCCTAAGCCTCGGATCGAGCCAAGTAAGAATTTTAATATGTCAAAATTGGTCTATTTTAATATTTCAACATGACACTATGTTTTCCTCTTATCCACGCCCCTTTATTCATTTCATTCATTCGTTCACTGCGGTAAGATAATAATAATAATAATAATAATAATAATAATAATAATAATAATAATAATAGTAATAATAACAATAATAGTAATAATAATAATGACAACCAAAACTGCGGACCACCTCAAAAGGTATAATTGCCTCCTGTAAACTGGGTTACAAAATCTGTACTTAATAGAAAAAAAGGAAATCGAATGCAACAATGACATAAAAAACTGCAGAACTGAGTTTTTAATTCAGTTTATTCTCTTCAGGACCTTCAAACATAACTAAAGCCAACGAATAAAAAAGAAAAGGGAGAAAAAATGTGGGGAAATGAAGATACTCTAATTCCAGATGACCCAAGTGGTCGAACTTTATTTTAATTATGCATTTTACAGTGAGTCGAACACAGCTGGCTTGTCTTAATGTACAGTACTATGTTAATGCGATGTATTCCTTATCTCATAGAGGCAGCTGTAAACATTTTCAAGTTAACGTACTTTATTAAAGAAAACTAACGCACCTTAAATTTTCCACAAATTTAGTGGCAATACTTAACGCGAAAGAGAGGGTAACATTTCAAAATGAGGGAAAATAGCGCGACGTTCACAAAGAAACAAAACTTGTTGGGACAACAGGAACGAAGTTAAATGATAATTCGGGCTGGAAACTTTGTTTGTGGTACTTTCCTTAAAAGTGCGAACGGGGTCAGGCGTAAAAAAATCTGGCCACTTCACAGTTTGACTGACACTGACGGATCTCCATCCTGATAAAATACTCCTCTATCTTAGCTGTCAAGAATGTCACAAATGTATCGATAATGCAGCCAAAACAATGGAAATTTAAGTTTCCGTTTTTGCAAAAAAAATAAAAACGGATATGATAAATATCCTGAACAAATGCCACACTGATCCGCCGAGGTTTATTGATAATAATTATTTGACATTCCTTTTCATAACACAGTCTTAAAGTACAGGATATATATACATCACCTTTTTTCAAAAAGTATTCCTTTGACATTTTTTTGCGAATTTATTTTTTGCAGTGCCCATGTGGAGTACACGTTTTAGCCGTCCGAAAGTAACGACTCCCCGATAGTAGCGAGCCTCCGAAAGTACGATAGCAGAAAGGTGCGAAAGTAACGAGGGTCGATACTTTCAGAACACACGGTAGGCTACTAAAACATGGCCGGAAAAAAGAACAAACGCACAAAAAGGACAAACTGCTACCACTAAAGCACAAAACGACCTTATGAGGATTTTATCCCCTTGTAATATATGACGAAATAAACTGCATGTCATTGTAAGCAAAGAACGTAGCCTTAATCGTGAGAACCTTAGAATGTGCAACAAATATGAATACCAAGGTTCTCACGATTACTGGTGAGGGATAATAAGCGATAATACCCTATGTAATGTAGAAAGTACAGCCTTATTAGATTTAGAAATTGATAGCAAGTTATCGTTCAATGCACATGTTGATAAAATATGCAAAAAGCTCGCCTCACGAATTACGGTGCTGCGAAAAATAATAGCCTTCCTACGGCTTATTCAGCGTGTTAAATAAGCTATATATGCTAGCTTCATCTGGTCGAGGAGCAGCTCTATCGCGTCCTTAAATTGCAAAACGCGGCAAGAGTCATTCTTTATGCGGATCGCCAGGCGTCTTTTGTTGCTCTTTTAAAAGCTCTATTGGATCCCGTTTCATGACCAATCAAGGATTGATAAGTGCTCTATCATTTAGAAGCGTATTAATGGGACTTTGCCTAATTACTTAAATGATCACATTGTAATAAAAAACAATCGCCAAGTACCGCAGAGAAACCGAGCACGGACGAACTTTTTCAGTATTTATTATCCTTTATAGGACTAAGCCGAGATTACTCAATCATTAAGCCCGGCAAGTATAATTTGAAGCAATTGGGAACTCCTGTGTTGGCCTAAAGAACGATGTAGATCTCCACCAATCCTCTAACTCGTACTTTTGTAGAACCTCATACAAGTTCTTCCAGAATACTAACGCCATATCAAAGACAGTTATGATTGGACCGGCAAACGCCTTGGCTTCTTTTCCGTTGGTCGACATTCTCCAATCCATGGCTTTTGAGGGCGGCAGCAGGCGTAGTGGAATGACTTCAAAGGTCTAAAGACGAATCGCCTAATATTATAAGCGTAGGGAATTGCTTTCCAGCCACCCGGTGTATAAAAATCATTGAGCAAGACCTGATCATTTGGGCAGGTGTCTTTTTCTGTTGTTTCACGCCAGAGTTTCATGATTCTTTGGTAGGTTTTCAAATCTGGCTTGATCACCAGAAGGCCTGCATTGAAGCAAAGGTCCAAAACACCAGGTCTGGAGCAAGGGACGGCGGCAAAATGTTCCGTGATTTGAAAAAGTTCATCAATATTAGTCATCAATATGTAATCGGCGTCAACGTAAATAATTTTAGTAAACTCTGTAAAGTTCCACGCGTGAAATCTTGTGTGTGTTCCCTTAATTCTGTGTCCTCGAGGTCTTCCAAAAAGTCCGCTATTTCGATCTCCACCAACTTTAGCATCCATCCACTTGCAATCCATTTCTTCGACCAAACGAGTTTCCCATCCGACGCTCTGAAGCGCCTTTTGTGTATCTTTACTCACATTTCCTGATATAAGCGCAATCATAGTTTTGTGACAAGAAAATGTCTGAATTGAGTGACCAAGAACCAAAGCAGGAACGACAAAGCTATCACTGACCATAACAGTTAGCCACGAAACATCTTTTCTTGACCTGTCTTCATTCTTGTTACACCGCTGTTGACCAAATTGTTTCTCCATTTCATACAATTTCCATTCCGTTTCTAAAAGCAGCAGTTCGTTGTCCAAAAGCCTCTGATTATCAGCACTAATATGTAGAGCAAGCATCTTCACAACTTGGAGAGGAAACGGTACTAAAATGGGTCTCCAAACGGCAAAGCAAATGGCCATAATTATAATCGGAGAGAAAGACAGCGTACAAATAATCAGCTTTTGACATTCACATTGTTTTGGTTCAGTTTCATTGGTCATCTTCGACACCGGCGCTCACCACTGAACTCGATCAGAGCTGTAGCTTTCTAGCTCTCCTCTAAATCTCAGTTTGTCCCAACAAGAAAACACACAAACCTTGGGTGCGGCTTGCTTCAAGCCAAGCGCTGTCCAAACCGAGCGGTCGAGAACGGAAAAAATAAGAAGACCAAAAGAAACTGCGTATACCGCCCACTGGCTACACACAGGCCACCCACTGGCAAAACAGGTAAAACTAATAAAACTAAATGGAACTGCGCATGGAAGCCACCCACTGGGTAGAACACATGTCAATAAAATTGACGTAAGCTCCCCACTGGTTACGAGCAAGCTACCAACAACAGCAACAACAACAACAAATTTTATTGAAAATTGGAAAATAACTAATTACATTACTTTCCTACCCGCAAATAGCTTATAAACTAATCGAGGCGGGGGGAGCTGAAGACATATTACAAAACAGGATTTATATATAGATGGACTAAATAACAGTGAAGACACTACTATACAGTAAATAGAATTTAAACTAACACAAAACAAGGCAATTACATAACGATTACGAAGAGAGGCTAACCTAAAGTATTAAATAACTTAATAAGACGGGAGACTTCGACATAATCATCTTCTGACCGCAAGAAATTTAGTAATAATTCCTTTATTTGTTTACGAAAGGACGAACGTTCAAGTATTTTAACGTCCCACAAATGTGACCTAAGGCCCATTTTTGTAGAGTTACGATCTTTCTTTGAAATGTCAAGTCACAGTTTCCCCAACCACAAATACCATAAGTCAAGTAAGGGACAATTAATGAGTTGTAAACTGAAAGTAAAATACGACGCGGGACATAATGTCGAATCTTAGCTATAATTCCTATCGACTTGCTGATTTTGTGACAGATAGATTCGATGTCCCATTTCCAAGAAAGATTTGAATCAATCATTAAGCCAAGATATCTTAAATAATCTTTCATTTCAAGGTTAAAGTAGGTGTTAGTCACGGAGTCAAGAATTCTAGTCCTAGGTATCAAGGGCATATTCTTTTGCCGGGGACGAAAGATTACAAAGTTTGATTTTTTTTTTATGTTCAAAGACAGTTTGTTGGCCTTTAGCCATTCCTTGACGTTGCCAAGCTCGCAATTAACAAGTGTTTCGAGTTCCTTTAGATTTTTATTTGCAAGTATTATACTAGTATCGTCAGCAAATAGATAAAAGGCAAATAACGAAGAGGACTTGTAAATATCATTGATGTACAGTACGAAAAAGAGTGGTCCGATGACTGAGCTTTGTGGCACGCCGCACAAGGTCGTCTCAGCCTCAGACACATTAACTTCCGTAGTTTGCTTTCGATCAGTCAGGTATGATCTGAACCAGCAGTTAACAGTATCAAAGGCCTTCTTGAGATCCATAAAAACACCGCAAGAAAATTTACTGCTGTCTTCTGTTCAACTTTTCAAGTGCCACTTTTATCAGGCAACTCTCATGGTGATACAAGTCAGTTGTAAAAGAAGACTGCAGTTTCTCAAAGATCGGAACTGAAGCATTCCTCGTTAGTTGCTACTTAGGGACGGACCATTAGAAAACATATCGGGGGGGGGGGGCGGGCGAAGGACAAAAAAAATATTCGCGCAAGGGAAAATTAAATGAAAAAAATTCATGCACGCCAATTAATCCTAAAAAAATATTCATGCTATGGGCTAAAAAAAAATTCATACAAGCAATTTGATAACAAAAAAAAAAATTCCTGCGGCTCGAAAATTCCCCCCCCCCCCCCCCCCCCCAATTTGTCAAAGAACCTGCCCTATGGTGTTTTCCTTGTCAGGCGGGTCTTTAGTGGGG